TATTTTATGTGTAGGTATGTATTGCCTGCATGTAGGTAAGTGCACCTGTGTCATGCAATGCCCGCAGAGGTCAGAAGAGGCTGTTGGGTCCCTGGGACTGGAGTTACTGACAGTTGTTAGCTGCCATGTGGGTGCTGGCATTCGAACCCAGGTCTTCTGCAAGAACAGTGTTCTTAACCACTGAGCCATCTCTCCAGCCCTTCTTTAGTGGGTTTTTTTTTTTTATGACATTCTCCCCCCCCTCGTGTGTGTGTGTGTGTGCGCGCGCGCGTGTGTGCGCGCACACTCTCAAAAACATGAATTTTACAGTACAATGATGATCTTCTCTAAGTGGATTTTTTCTATTTTATTTGCAGTTTTCTATTTTATTTGAAAAAGAAAAACTGATAATTGGACCACACCAGTTGTTTCCATAATCTACTTAAGTTGGACATGACACCAGAAGCTGAAGAAAACTGCTCTTCCATATTCTCCCACAATAAACACTCTTTTGTTACAATTTAAGCCTATTATCTCTTCAGATTCAAAAGTAAAAGAACTAGGCCTACATACTCTAGTGAGGAACAAAAACCACCACTCTTAAAACTACTAACTTAGGGCTCGAGGTGGCTCAACTTGTAGGGGTACCTGCTGCCAAGTTTGAAGACCTAAGTTTGATCCTTTGAACTTATAAGATGGAAAAAGAGGACCAACTCCAGAAAGTTGTCCTCTAACCCCCTCACATCTTTTTATTGTTTTGGTCTTTTTGAGACAGAGTCTCCCTATAGCCCCAGCTGGTCTGGAACTCACTGTGTAGACCAGGCTAGCCTTGAACTCAGAGATCTGCCCACCTCTGCCTCCCAAGTGCTGGGATTAAAGATGTGTACCATTATGCCTGGCTATTTATTTTTATTTTATGTGTGTTTTGCCTCTGTGTATGTAAATGTACCACATGCATGCAGTGCCCACAGAGGTTGGAAGAGGGCATCAGATCCTCTGGAGCTGGAGTTAATGGACAGTTGTTAGCTGCCATGTGGGTATTGGGGATTGAACCTGGGTCCTCTGCAAGAGCAGCCAGTAGTCTTAACTGCTAAACCATCTCTCCGGTCCTCTGCAAGAGCAGCCAGTAGTCTTAACTGCTAAACCATCTCTCCAGCCCCCAAACTCATTTCTTAACCTAAACTGTAGTTTAAATGTTTGAAAGTTCTTATTCTAGAGCTGCAGGCTATAGGCAATTTTTGTTTTTGTTTGTGGGGGTGGATTTCTTTTGTTTCTGTGTTGCTAGAAATCAAACCCAAGGCTCGTACAAGTTAGGTAAACACTGTACCACTGAGCCTACACGCTGTACCCCTTAAGCAGTTTTCATTTACTGGTTTTAAATAACTTGTTTATATACATGCAAAGCTGAACAAATCTGTATGTAAGAAAGCATTCAGTACTTACAAGGATTGAGTCATGTAAAGGGACAAAAACATCTAAATCAAACAAATCTTTCATCTCTCATTTTATTCCTCCTAATTTTGTGCTCACTGCTTTAGAGTTTCTTTAACCATCGTCATTAATGAAGAAACTGAGACTTAAGTAGCTTGATTGTATAGTAGTGGATTAAATTTGAGGAAGACATTCCAGACTCTGGGATTGAAAGATTAGATGAAATAAAGGAAGGTGTTGACTGTTCTGATTAAGATGTCTTTAAGAATGAAAATGGGGCTGGAGAGATGGCTCAGTGGTTAAGAGCGCTCACTGCTCTGACAGAGGACCTAGGTTCAGTTCCCAGCACCCACATGGGAGTTCATAACTAATTCCAGGGGATCCAATGCCCTCTTCTGACCTCTGCAGGCATTGCAGGCATGGGTACACTTGCGTACATGTAAGTAAAACACTCATATACTAAAATAAAAATAAATAACTTTTTTTTTAAAAAAAAAGAATGAAAGTCATCTTTTAGTCTAATGGTATAGCCTTGTATCCCAGTTATGTGGGAGACTGAGGCATGTGATCTGCAGGTTCAAGGTAAATCTGAGCAATTTAATAAGACACCATCTCAAAATAAAAAATAAAAGAGGACTAGGTGTGTAGCTCAGTAGAAAGCCTTGTGCCTAACATGTGCAAGACTCTAGGTTAGGTCCCCAGAAACACACACACACCAAAAAGAAAAAGAAAATGATGTCCCTATAATGTCATTATTATTAGAGATAAAAATGTTTACAAAGGACATTATTATTCTGGTTGGACTTTTAAAATCCCATGTTTCTCAAACTCTAGATTTATATATTTATTTTCTGTTTGAAAAGTAGAGTTCCTGAAGATTGATTTTAAAGTGCATGAGAAGGAGGAGAAAGGCAAAGTTTAATAACTTATCAACTAATTTTTTTTTTTTTTTTTTTGGTTTTTTTGAGACAGGGTCCCCCTGTAGCCCCAGCTGGACTGGAACTCACTATGTAGACCGGATTGGCCTTGAACTCAGAGATCCACCTGCCTCTGCCTCCAGTGCTGAGATTAAAGGCATGTACCACCATGCTCAGCTTCAACTAATGTTTAATATAGAATAAAATTAAGTAATCAAATATTGAACCAGTAGTAACCTATTTTGGAGTAGCTTTATTTTGGAGAAACAAGTCTATGAACTCAGTCTAATGTATACATATTTTGGTGGGTTTTTTTTTTTTTTGCATTTTGACAAAATGGCTAAAGGAAACAATTCACAGAAGCTAAAGCTTTTATTTTTATGACAGGGTGAGTTTTGTATAATTATCTACTATTGGTTTTCCCTTAGAGATAACACTGTTACACCTACTTAGAGGATATAGAGTGTTAGGTCTTTAGGTGCCATCCTTTCCCGCAGTTAACCTATGGACATGTCATTTGAGTGAATTTGGTCCTTTTTAAAGCTTAAATTTTAATATAGAAAATTTTTGTATAGATGAAGTAAAACAGAAGCCCATGTTCTACATCAGCTCTTCACATCTTACTTTGAGATGCACATATCTTACATGTAAAATTTACTAAATAGATGTATGTGTGTAACCCATGCTCTGTCAGGATGTTCAATGTGAAACTTAAGATACGAGTTTTAAATCTTTATTCTGCAACCTTTTATGTCAGTCATTTCCTGTTAAGTTGCACAGGGGTACTTTTTTGTATTTGTACTAAACTTGACCCTCAGGCTTTAGGGAAAATTGCTCCTTTAGTGTATTTTGACCATGTGTGCCCCATACCTCAATCCCTATTTCTTCCCATTAGTCCCCTTTGTTCTCCTAGACAGCCTTGCTTTTACTTTCCTGTAATGTGTACACACATGAGTTTGTGTATCTAAAATGTGGGACCCACAAATGAGAGCAAACATGAGATAGTTGTCTAAGACAGTTGAAAAAATATGTAATGCTTAATGAGTTTGGATGTTATCCTTGTTCAGGGTCCCTGCTAATCTACTTTGTATTATTCCAATTCTAGTGTATATACTACCAAAACAAGCAATACACGAGCTGTTAGTGCTTGAAATGTGGTTATCCAAATTGGGGTATGCTGTAAGTGTAAAATACCAGATTCTATTACTTGGTACAAAAAAATTTAAAGTATATAATTAATTTTTGTGTGTGTTGCTTTCATGTTGAAATTATATATAGGGTATATTAGGTTATTTTATGTGCTTATTTCTGCTTTGGCGGGGGCTAGGGAAAAATTACATTTGTTTCTAGACGCAGAATACTTAAAGTACAAGCTGCTTTTATTTTGAAATATACAGACTTTCTGCCCTCATTATAAACTTTTTGGTTTTGGCAGTGATGGCATTAGGGTATAAATGTTTCACAGAATGTTGCTGAGAAACTGTTGTGTAGTTTTGCTTGTTAGATTCGAAACTTCCTCTTGGTCTATTTTATGATTTATTTCACTGAGTATAAATACTGCCTTAGTAGAAATTTTATTTGATTTCAAGAATTAAACTGTTTGGTTTCCCAAGAAAAAAAAATTTTTTTAATTCTATCAACATTTATTTTTTGCTTACATCATCTTAAAGAATTTATAGTAAAAAAATCCTTGCTTCCAGCAAGAAATCCAAAGATTAAGCTAACATTGAAAATATTTATAGGAAGTTAATATTACAGATGTAAATTGCACAGATCATTCCATATCTTGCTGGGGTTTTTTTTGTTGTTTGTTTGTTTGTTTTGATTTTTGAGGCAGGATCTTCTGTAGCTCCAGCTGGTCTGGAACTTGCTATGGAGATCAGGCTAGCCTTGATCTCATAGAGATCTGTCTGCTGCTGCCTCTCTGAGATTAAATGCATGCACCATCACACCTGGCTCCATATTTGTTTTTAATGGAGTAATTCAGGTAAACAAAAGATTGATTCAGGGGCTGGAGAGATGGCTCAACAGTTAAGAACACTGGTTGTTCTTACAGAAGACCCAGGTTTGAATCCTAGCACCCACATGGCAGCTAACAACTGTCCATAACTCCAGTCCCAGGGGATCCAACAGCCTCTTCTGACCTCTACAGGCATCGCATGACACAGTTGCACTTACCTGCATGCATGCAATACATGAATATACATAAAATTTAAAAAATAAAAATTCAGTTTTTCTCTGTGGTTTCTAGATAAATCTGTATTTTTTTTGCACATACCACTTTAAACAAAACTAATGAAACTACCAAATGAGATTTAATTTTTTAATGAAGAGTTTAATGGATTAGTTTAATGATGTAACAATATTACTATACGACATTTTTTATAACATCTGTAGGGAAGATTGCTAAGCATTCAGTAGCTGAAGAGATTCAATTAGTATGTAAAATATGATTTTAATTTCTAAAATTTTTTCAGAGTTTTATTAATCAAGATAAAAGAAAAACAGAAGATGAAGATAAATCACAATCATTTATGCAGAAATATGAGCAAAAAATCAGACATTTTGGTAAGTCTATTACTTGAATTTCCTTCTTGGTATCATAGGTATGTGTATAAAAATGTATTTTTAAAATGAGAGGTGAAAAAAATACATGTAACAAACTCCAAGTCCAGTTATATTGATATTTCTGGAAGAGCCGTGAGATCCATTTTAGACCTTTCTTAGGTCATAGACAGCAAACCAGGTTGTAAGGATTAGTGCAATTCAGTCTGTTAATACCACCCTCTAAATTCTTTCTACTATGTGGGTTTTGGGGGATTGAACTTGGGTCATCAGTCTTGGTGCCGAGTGCCTTTACCCACTGAGCCATCTCTCACCTGCCACCATTCATTTTTTATTTTTTCAGGTTCGAATATGATGCTGTGTAATTCACACAGTTTCTTGACATGTTGCTCAGATAAATAAAATAGAAATGTATATACAAAGATCTAAGATAGCTTTTGCTAAAAGAGTAAAATTTTTACTTATGTATATGTATGTTTGTCTGAGTATATGCTGTGTGGGTGCCTGCCTGTGGAAGCCAGAAGAAGGCATTGGATCCTCTGGAACTGAAGTTACAGGTGGTTGTGAGCTGCCCAGATGTAGGTGCTGGGATCTGAACTTGGGTCAATTCTGTAAGACTAGCAAGTGCTCTTAACTGCTGAGCTGTTTCTCCAGCCCCAGAAATAGCTTTTTCTCCAAGGGTAAAAGAGAGGGATAAAGTTGATGTAAGTAAAGGATATCTTAGTTTTCCTATGAAGAACAGATAGGATTTTCCAAGTAGATAAGGCAACAGGGAGAGCATAGAAATGCAGTCAGAAAATGTCTACATGTTGTGTTCTGAGAATTGCAAGTGGTATGATACTGCTGGTCTAAAAATGCTACTTGGAAGTGTGAAGATTTAAGATTCAAACCGTATTTTTTTTTCTCAAACCATTTTTTTTTTTAATCGAAATAATGTGTGAATTAGTAGACAGTTTTTATTTGTATTGTGTTCATCAGCATTTACTGACATCTTGAGGTGTGCCCCCTTGAAGAATTATTTATGCTTCAGTTATGCCAAGACAGTAGATCATTACTTTTCCCCTTTTATGCAGTTTCATAAAATACTTTCTTATACTTATTTTTTAAAAAGAAAAATTGTACATTTAACTCAAGAATAGCACCAGAAGAAAGCTAGGTTTGGTAACACATTCTTGTAATCTCAGCAGTAGAGAGGCTGACGCTGAAGCCAGAGGACCACAAGTTCAAGGGTAGCTTGGGCCCTAGAAAGCAAGTTCCAGGCCTGTCTGGGTTATGGCAGTCTCAAAAAAGCCAAACCAAAACAAAAAAGGCCAGTACCTAAAGAAATAAACAAACTCACATTTTTACATGTTATCAAGTGTCATCCTATGTAATAGAAACAAAAAGAACAAGTAGTCTTTTTTTTTTTTGGACAGATTCTAAAATCCTTAAACAAGCAGGTCTTGAATCATAGGAATAGAAGGCAGTCATTTGCAAATGAGTCTTGTGTGAGTTGCCACTGCTATAGAAAAATTGTACCACCTACTGTAGTTCTTTCTAGGCACACATGGCATTTGATAGAAGCCTCCCTCATGGTGTTTTTGCCTAACTGACATTCTGTAGCCTAGTTGCTTTGGAGCTAAATAACCTAGTAAATGAGACATAGTACTTTCATTCTGTTGTAAAATGATTGTTTGGCTAAAAGCTCTTTTGTGTAGTAAAACATTCCAACCTCCCAAGGTGTTATAATCCATCTAACAGTATGAGTCTTCAGTAGACTATTTCAACATCTTTTTATAAAGCCTGTTGCTTCTGAGTAGTAATGTTCATGGTAAGACCAATGAATTTCATGAGTTCATAGTCGTCATTTCTTTTGCTATAAATGAGTCAAAAACAATGTGGTATGGTGACCAGTTCATCTGGTAAGACTTAAGATACATTACAGGTAGAAGCAGAGAGCAGCTGTTCCAGATCTGAGAATGGGCTTGTTCATGTCAGAAATTCATGGTTCCTCCAAGAGGAGATTGGACTAAGATATCAGGCTGCTGCTTGATAGCTGGGTAATTCTACAGTGCATGGTGCAATATTGGGGTTTGGGCATAAATTTCTGCTACTGGCAAATTAGGTATTCATTAATAATATGGATTGGGATACTGGAACATCCTTGATGAGAGGAGTCCACACTGTTGAGCCTGTGCATAATCTCAAGCCTGTGCTACCATGACCCCTTAGTTTATGAAACTTAGTTTATGAAACTATTTTGCATTTAATGAGATGGCCAGGAGAAAAGGCTGACTCAATAGCCACAGGTGATTAATAAGCAATTGTTTTACCATATTGTGAGCGTCCAGAATCTCATCTTGCAATACTAACCAGATGCTTGCTGTCTTCAAATCCAACCAGACTTATAACCACTCCCAGATTCACATTGTGCCTGTTTCTTAGTGGAAATGCACATTGACTTTTCACTTTGGAGGAGATATCCTACTTGCTGCAGCACATTGGATCCACAGAAATGTTCCTAAGGTAGTAGGCTCCCAAAATTTTCACGTGTTTTGCTTTCCATTCTCTGGCATGCATGTAATCTGGGACACCTGCTACTTCCTACCCACTAAGTTCTGTCAACATAGAATGGACCAATTTGAAAATGTGGGATGATGAGTGATCAGAGTCCACATTTAAAAATGATGAAACAGTTGATAGAGGCCTTGAGGCAAGTCAGTGAGGGTTTGATATTACTCTTGGATGAAGAGAGCAGGTACTTTCTGATGGTATATTTATTATACTAAAGGAAAAAAATCATTAGCTAGACTGATGCCTATGTTGATGAACTCCCTAAAACACACCTGGAATGGCAGCTATAATTAAAACTTCCAAATGGAGACTTTCCAAACTCAGATTACATTCCTTATTCTTGAAAAGCAAGCCTAGTAAATGGTGACTGTCTGTGGAGGGCTGTAGGAACTCCATACTGGTACTTCTCTGTGGTCTTATGTGTACTCACATTCTTCTGAGTTCTTCCCAGTTTTCCCTTACGCTCTTTGATGATGCTCATTCTCATGTTACTTTTACCCTTATAATTAGGTGGAATTTACCAACTAATAGTAAAAGGTACAGTTGCAACTGTGGAATATAAGGAAGCATTGAAGTCTTGATTTTTTTTTCACTCTGTTTATACTTACTAATTTCATTGACTCGTGTTTTATAAATACAAAATCCCAATTTAGTCACAAAGCCCAATTACTTTTAAAATTCAGAAGTTTCATCCAAAATTTTTTGCATCTTTAACATCACTATCTTTGCTTTTTGAATCATGTAACACTTTTTCAGAGTGTCTGTTGACCCTTCCAGCCATAGTTAGCTGTGATTCAGCATTTTATGAATCTGTAGGATATTGTCACTGGAAATTTTAAATATTTATTTTTATTTTACATGTATGAATGTTTTGCCTGTTTGCATGTAAGTGCACCATGTGTATGTAGTGCCTGTGAAGGCCAGGAGAAGGCATTGGATCCCCTGGAACTGGAGTTACAGATCCATGTTAGCTGCCATTTGGGTGCTGGAAGCTTAACCTGGGTCCTCTGCAAGAGCATCAAGTGCTCTTAACCACTGAGCCATCTCTCCAGCTCCTGTCACTGGAAATTTTATCAAAAGGCTGTAAACATTTATGCAAAAACTATAAGACCTTTGTTCACTTATACCAAAGATAAATGATATTTATAATATCTTCATTGTTTTCATTTGTATTTTGCTTCTAAAAATCATTTCAATATCCTGTTTTTAAAAATATGCTATAAAGACTTGAATAGAATATGAAGTAAGAATAAATAGAAAAGTATATGTATGATAGGAATTAAATTATCTCTTGTGATAGAATTACATAGGACTTTTATTTGAGGACTTTAAAAATCTTCACAAATATGCTTCATTTTTATTATCTTAAAAACATAATTTGCCGGCCGTGGTGGTACACACCTTTAATCCCAGTACTCAGGAGGCAGAGGCAGGCAGATCTCGGTGAGTTCAAGGCCAGCCTGGTCTACATAGTGAGTTCCAGGACAGCTGGAGCTATAGGGAGACCCTGTCTCAAAAAGACCAAAAAACAAAACCACATAATTTAAGCTTTTATCATAACAATTGTAGGATGGCTCAATCTATATTAGCAGATTATATAATAGTATAACCACAGAATGTGGTGGTCAGTTTCATGCCAGAGAAATGGAAATGTCAGATCAGATGAATTTCTAGTGTGCTTGATTATGTAACCTGAAACTTAGGAGACATTGTAGGGTGGCAGTTAAGGAAAATGGATTTGGTTTTCAATTAGGATGAGTTTATGTGTAGGCATGTAGGTTTAAAAAAAATGGTTGGTGATAGTACAGGAAATCTGCAGCTCATGAAATAAAAATACTCGTATGTTTTTTTCTCAAGGCTCTTGCGACCCAGCTGGGAGATTTTTAACAGAGAAGTTAAAGTGAATAGTGTAAGGTGTTAAATCTGTCATTCTCTAAGCATAATGCAGGAAGGAAAGGGGAATAATAAGTGTGTGTATTTGGGAGCCATTTTGAGAGTCAAATAGAATATTGAGAACTGATGGATTGACATTTAGATGCTCATCAGGGAGACACATAGTTTGAAACATGTAATTAAACCATTTTAATTTGTTAAGGTAAGCTTTTCTAAGCATTCTGAGAAGTTGATTGTTCAGTTTGAATGACTGGGTTACCCTTAACCAAAGAATTGTCCTTATAAATATTTATTATATGAGTGGATTGACTGTTGTGATAATACTTACCATCAAGTATTTATGCCAGGCACTGTTCTAAATGCTTTGTATCAAGTGTCTATAACCATGACAAAAATTCTTTAAGCTAGGTACTATTTTTAGCCCTATTCTCTGATGGTGGATATGGAGGCATACAAAGAATTTGCCCAAGTTTTGTTTTGTTTTGTTTTGTTTTTGAGACAAGGTCTCCCTGTAGCTGCAGCTGGCCTGGATTCACTAATGGAGACCAGGCTGGCCTGAACTCACAGAGATCCGCCAGCCTCTGCCTCCCAAGTGCTGGGATTAAAGGCGTGCACCACCATGCCTGGCCCCCTTTTCTTTTTAAGTGAAGAAAATATAAAAATTACATATTTTGAATTGATTCCCCATGTGTGTGCTGTGTATTCTCAGAAAGCTATATGTCTTTGGTTTTGTTCTTATATTCTAATGTGAAACTTAGTATATAGGAATTTATTTTGTGTTGGTAGGAAAGATTACTCATACTCTAAAGATAGCCCTCTGAAATTTCCATGGTGATAAATAACATCCAGGCTTTGTGTGAATGTAAAGTCTAAAGCTGCTAACATTGTATACTGAATTTATTCAGATATAAAGCTGACTGAAAAAATTTAAAATTAAAATAATCACTTTTTAGGTTCCATGATTGCTTGGTTATATTGACTTTGCTAAATTTCTTGCTAATTTAGATAAAGTTGCAGGTATGTTAACTGCTATTGGATTTTAACATAGCAATCATTTTCAAGTATGCTAAACTAATTGAATTTTTAAAATTATTTACTGTATACGCTAAAGAGATGTCATAATTGGGTAACATGAATAAAATGAGTAAAGAATATTTATTATTATTAAACCAACTTAATTTGTTTCCCAATTGATAGTTTCCTAAATTGGTAAATGTCTATATTTTATCTTATCTTGGGCATTTTGTTTGTTTTGTTTTGTTTTTTGAGACAGGGTCTTACTATGTAGTCCTGATTGGCCTGGAACTCACTAGGTAGACTCGACTGGCCTTGAATTTGCAGAGTCACCTGCCTCTACCTCATAAGTGCTGGGATTAATGGCATGAGTCACCATGCCTGGCCTCTTAAACAGTTTTTAATAAATTAGAGATAATGTGGTGTCCTGAGTCTTTATTAAGCCCTTAAATTTGCCACGTGCAGTTTCCTGAGGTTTTGCTTTTTTTGTTGTTTTTGTACTGAGGATTGCGCCTTGGACCACATTTGTAATAGGCAAACACTTGACCATTGAGTGGTATCCTAGTCCTCTTTTTCTCTAATGTTTGTCTTGAGTCAGGGTCTTGCTAAGTTTCTCAGGCTGTCCTTGAACATGCTCTGTAGCCAAGGCAGCCCTTGAATTTGCAGTCCATAGCCACCCAAGTAGCAGAGATTCTTCTAACAGAAAAATTTCTGTTCTCCAAGTAAATAATACTGAGTGTCTTAATCATTTGTGCTCACTTTAACCTTAGATGACTTAATGTCTCAGTGTGTGTTCCCATAAACAGAACTATTGGACTTAACTGGCCATTCTTTTGTGGGACAATAATCTGAAATAAAACTTTCTGTGAATTTTACAAGTCATTCTAGTCTGCTGGGTATCACTTAAGAAGTATTAGCTGGAGCTGGTTGTGGTGGTATGTACCTTTAATCCCAACACTTGGGAGGCAGAGGCAAATAATCTCTGAGATTGAGACCAGCCTGGTTTACACAGTGAATTCTAGGGGCTGCAGGGAGACCCTATCTCAAAAAAAAAAAAAAAGTATTATCATGTAAAACGTTGCTCTGATACTATGAATTGCCTTTAAAGAGAAGGCAATTTATTTTTATGTATATTGCCTGCATGTATGTAAGTGCACCCATGTCATACAGTACCCGTGGAGGTCAGACAAGGGTGTCTATTTCCCCTGGAACTGCAGTTACAGACAATTGTTAGCTACCATATGGGTACTGGGAACCGAACCCTGGTCTTCTGCAAGAGCAGCCAGTGCTCTTAACAACACTGAGCCGTCTCTCCAGCCCTAAAGAGAAACACTTTTTAAAAAAATATTTTATTATTTTATGTGTATGAGTGAATTGCCTGTATGTGAGTGCACCCATGTTGTACAGTGCTGCGGAGGTCAGAAGAGAGCTTTGGATTCCCCTGGAACTGGAGTTAAGGACGGTTTGTAGCCATCATGTGGGTGCTAGGAATCGAACCCAGATCCTCTGCAAGAGCAGTCAGTGCTCTTAACCTCTGAGCCATCTCTCTAGGCCCAATTGAAACATTAAAAAAAAAAACTATTTCTTCTTGCCTTATAGGAAGAAGGGAAATACTTGACATTCATGATTCATTGTGGTTTTTTTTTACAGGTATGTTAAGTCGATGGGATGATAGTCAGAGATTTTTGTCTGATCATCCATACCTTGTATGTGAAGAAACTGCTAAATATCTTATTTTATGGTGTTTTCACCTAGAAGCTGAGCAGGTATTGTATGAACCTGAGTTAATGGGAGTCAGTGGAATTCTGATTTCTTTATTTGTATTATTTTTTTTAATATTTTATTTATTTTTATGTGTATGAGTGTTATGCCTGCATGTAAGTGCACCTGTGTTGTGCAGTGCCTGTGGAGGACAGAAGAGGCTATTGGATCCCCTGGAACTGGAGTTATGGACAGTTGTTAGCTGCCATGTGGGTGCTGGGATTCAAACCCAGGTCTTCTGCAAGAACGGCCAGTGTTCTTAACTGCTGAGCCATCTCTCCAGCCCCCTTGTTTTTGTTTTTTACATTATTTACTTTAAGTGAAAGCAGGAAGGTTATTAGAAGAAACAGAAAGGTTCTGTTGTTTTCATCTTTGGAGTTTAATGGGGGATGCTTTTCTTGTTGCCTCTTAAGTTAGTCTAGAAACTTTCCCAGTGTATTTGCACTGCCACCTTCTAATCACTCTTACTCCCACATATGATAATCACTCTTTTTACTAATGAGAAAGTTTGCTTTTAAAATTTCACACAGTAATCACAGTCCTTAAGCCAAAAGATGGCTCCCTGTTATTCTGGTTCACATAAAAAGTTAAGCAATTAAAATATTCACCTTTATGTCCATATAGTATTTTATTTAACAACTAAAGAGAATAAAATCAAAAGTACTCTAAAAATTCAAAATTTGGATTAGTATACATACTAATTCAATCTCTTTCTAGAAGTATTTTTTATAGCTTTAATCTGTTTGTTTTCAGAAAGGGGCTTTAATGGAACAAATAGCACATCAAGCTGTTGTAATGCAGTTTATTATGGAAATGGCCAAAAACTGTAATGTGGATCCAAGAGGGTGTTTTCGTTTGTTTTTCCAGAAAGCCAAAGTAAGTAGTTACTTGACATCATTAAATGAGGTTAGGCCATGGTTGAGAGCTCTTTATTCTCCACATATCAGGAAGGTTTGAGCCAGAGTGCTGCAAATGCTGGTGGTTTTCTAATGAAGAGAAATGTATGTGCAGTATTAGTATTTACTTAGTATATGTAAATTAGTATTTATATAGGTAATATAAATCAGTATTCAAACTATAGTGTTTATAATACAATATAGTATTTCAGGTTTCTTGCTAATTGAGACTTTAAAAAGAGTAAGAGGCAGCTGAGTGTGGTGGCACACGCCTTTAATCCCAGCACTAGAGGTGGATCAAGGCCATAGCGAGTTCCAGACTGAAGTAAAAAGAGAATAAGAGACCATGTATGTACTAGAACATACATGTTAATTGAGATCTGTTGACTGGTCAGGAAACTCAGTGCTTCATTATCTATCCCTTCAGTAAATATTGAATGCTTACTAATGCAAAGCTCTTCCCAATGCCAAGGATACAGTGTTGAGCAAAACAAGTACATAGTCCTCCATATGTAGAACTCAACAGTTTTTAATGAGAAGGGAATTTTTTGAATTATTAATAACCACATAATTAGAAGAAGCATTTCATTACACCAGCATTGACATATTCAATAACAACTTCCTGAGCTAAGATGCATCTCTTTCAAAATTGGCTGTAAATTTTTAGGTTTACAGTTGAATTAATACAGTTATACAATATTGTACTCAGTATAAACGCTATAAGACATAAATGAGGTTTTAACATTTGAAAAGATCTCCATTTCATTATTAAAACAGTTTCATACAGAAAAATCCATTTTTAATGCAATTAACACTAAGATGTTTGCACATGCGTTTCTAATCTCTATATATCTGGTTATTACTAGTCACGGTTGGTTACTTTCTGAGATCCTTGGCATCTGAGCATGGATATAAAGTCATCAGGTAGATGTCAATGGTAATGTTTTTCACATCTACTAATTATTAAGGAGCAAATTTTTATGCTTTGAAGAATTGTTATTTTTTAAATTTTTTTTAAATTTAATAACCACATGATTAGAAGAAGCATTTCATTACAGCTTTTGTAATGAAAAAAAATGTAAGACATAGTCAAGGGGCTGAAGCAGGACGATTATGAGTTGAAGGTCAGCAGGAATGAGATCCTATTAAGAAAGAGTAGAAAGGGGAGGGGAGGGAAGACGGAGAGGGAGGAAGGGAGGGAAGCATCGAACAATTACAGGAGTGACTTCAAAAAGCACTGGGGTACATAGAATATTATGCAACTATTATATATTTACAGAACATTTTTACTGATCTAAGAAAATGCGTGTGTTGTAAGTTTAAAACAAGTGATGTGTATTCATATAAATGTAATGTTGGCCCTGTTAAAAATATGTGTAGGAAGTACCGTTTCATATTTACTAGATTAGTAATCAGTTTTGCTTTTAAAAATTGCATATATTTATATGTGTGTGTGGTGTATGTATGCATACACGTATGTGCTGGTTTGCTCACACATGCGTGCCATGTGGAGGCCTGAAGTTCCTCTACTGCTCTTTATTTTCTGAGACAAGGCCTCTCAGTGAACCTAGAGCTCAACATTTAGGCTGGGCTGGCTGGCCAGCATGACTCTAGGATTCCCCCCTCCCCCAGTGCAGGGGTTACAGACTTGTGCTCTTATGCCCAAACATTTTTGTAGGCTCTGAGGATCCAAACTCAGGCCCACAGGTTGAGCAGCAGGCACTTTACCAACTGAGCTGTCTCCCCTTAAATATTTTTTCAAGTGTATATCACTGTGTTCCCAGGCTATTCCTGGGCTTAGATCATTCATTCTCAGTCTCTCAAGTAGACACATACCACTGTGCCTAACTCTGGAAAACAGTTTTGTAGCATAAAAATGCATTGTTAATAGCAACATGTAATGAGTTTGTTGCTTTTTTAAGTTATTTTAATATTTTAACATAGTAAATAAGAGAAATTTTTTATCTCCCTCACAAGTTTTCAGAGTATGAAAGGGCTGTGAAGCTGAAAGGCTTGAGAATTGTTGTCCTAGAATACCTTACACCTGTGTACTAGATGCAATACTGTTTAGAGATGTGGTCACGATAGCACAAAGCCTGGCAACAACCTCACCCTGAGAATAAACTGGTATGCTCATTCGTAAAATTCATTAACTGTGGTATGTTCACTAGCACTGTAAATGAAAAACCAGGAATGAATGAAGTTAAGTTACAGTTATATCGTCAGTATCAATTTTTAAAATGTGTTTTATGGTTAATAGTTTTAAATATATTTTATCATAGGCAAAATTAAGCTATATTTCTGAGAGAGATATATAAGCAGTAAAAGTAAAGTAAAGAAATGATTAAGGCAAAAGTTCATTGGAAAGCTCAGAGAAAGAGGGGAATAGTGATGTGGTTCCTCATTTCTGGGACTTTTTGCTGAGTGAACTGCACATGTATATTTTTACCTGCACTTTTCCACATAGGATACGTTACAGGATTTACAATTAGAAATTAAAAACCAATGTGGCTGGAGAGATGGCTCAGCTTTTAAAAGCACTTGGCTGCTCTTGCAGAGGCCCTGGGTTTAATTCTCACATCCACATTATAGCTGACAACCATCCTAACTCCAATTCCAGGGGAATCTGACACCTTCTCTGACCTCCAAGGGCATTGTGTGATATGGGTGCACTTAACACATGCAGGCAATACACTCATACACACAAAATAAAACAATTTTTTAAAAAAAAGAAAATTTGAAAAGCTGAACTTTGGTTATACTTGAGTAGTAAAATTATTATTTTCATATTTTTAATATATTACAATGACTATTTCCTGTAATAAACAGCAAAAATTCTTTTTTATTTTATTATTATTATTTTTTTTGAGACAGGGCCTCCCTGTCCTCCCAGCTGGCCTGGAACTCCATGTAGACCAGGCTGGCCTCGAACTCACAGCGATCCACCTGTCTCTGCCTCCCAAGTGCTGGGATTAGGCGTGTGTCACACCTGGCCTAAAGTTTAATTCTATTTTTTAAAAATAATAAAAGAAACCTACCAAGGTTTTCGTAGTCCTGCCTTAATGCTCTAAACTCTATAAAGTACAACCAAAAAGGAAAAACTACAATTTTCAGGAGTAAATGCCGAAGTTGGAATTTTAGCTAGGTTTATGGTAAGTAGTCTAAAATTTTACTTGACACATAGGAGTAATAAAAACTATCCTTTAAAATAAATTTTTTTTAAATTTTTTGTGTATGGGTATTATGCCTGCATGGGCATCTGTGTCATGCAGTGCCCACAGAGGACAGAAGAAGGCAAGGGTCCTCCGGAACTGGAGTTACGACAGCTGTTAGCCATCATGTGGGTGCTGGGAACTGAATCCTGGGCTTCTGCAAGAATAGCCAGTGCTCTTAACTGCTGAGCCATCTCTCCAGCCCAAAAACTATCTTTGGACAGGTATTAATTAAACTTATTTGATAATGTCATTTGCCACACAAAATTTTTAAATTTTGCTTTGAGAAAACACAACTGAAGGTCACCAAAGTCTTCAATTTTAGCACTGTTTTAATGTTTGAAATTTAGCAGGAATATTCATGGGAGCTTACATCCTGGCAGGCACTGTTCTGAGCATTTTGCATGGGTTAATTCATTAAATCCTTCTGATATTTTTATCAGGATTTCTATTCTTATTTTGTAAGGGAGGAAAGTGGCATAAAGAAATAAGCAAATAGCCCATAGGTTACTTTATAGCCTTGTCTCTATCAAAACCTCTACCGTAGGATCGCAGTAAAAAGGCAGTCATGTTGCTTGCCTTTGAGATAGATTGATTACCTTTGGATATGAACATCAGATACTAGCATATTGCCATGAAAGTATTAGATTACTAGATATTTAAAATAAGATGTTAATCTGTAACTAAAATTGTTTGTAAAGACAGGATATCTGCCCAGAACTGTAGCGTTTTTATATTACTAATAACTAATCCATAGTCTTTACTAGTTTTCACAAGCTAAACTCCATCTGACAGGATCTTTCTAGCACTTGAACTTAAACCTAGCATAATGTTATCATAGGATATGTCCCTGTTGGTTATACATAGAAGAAATAGTTATAAAAAGAACCTACTGCCAGTAAGGACTTTTTTTTTTTCATCAAGAATTTTCACTCATAGGTCATTGGATGCCTAACAGTCCCCTCCTTCAGCCTAAGTTGTCATACTTGTTTCTTTCCATAATGTTGAAAAGAAGGCACTTGCTTAAGTAGAACACAGAGATATTCTCATAATGAAGTTGAACGTGAGTTTTATTTGGTTTTCATAACTTTTACAAGTAGAGTCTAAAAAGGCCAAAGATTTACTAGATGGGTATTACCCTCCCATCCTTCCCTTCCATTGATAGCAGAATTGAAAAGAAAAGCTTTATGTGTATTAGTGTTTGTCTGCATGTATGTGAGTGCACCATATGCATGCAGGGCCCATGAAGGCCAGAGGAGGGCATTGAATCCCCTGGAACTGGAGTTATGGATGGTTGTTAGCTACTATGTAGGTGCTGGGAACTAAACCCAGGTCCTCTGCAAGAGCAGCCAGTGCTCTTAACCACTGAGCCATCTCTCCAGCCCCTGAACCTTCCTTGGTTGTTAGGCAGTGGTATGAAAATAGAGTAAATGTGAGAAGTTAAGTAAAGTTATTATTTTGTTTGTTTTGTGGTTCTGGTGTTTTAAACCCAGGGCCTTATACATGCTAAGCAAGTACCCTAACACTGGGGTATGTTTTATTTTTTACTTTCTGTTTTGAGACAGGGTCTCACTAAGCTGCTCAAGTTGGCCTTAAATTTACTATGTAAACCATTGGGCCTTGGAATTGCTACCCTCCTGCCTTAGCCTCCTGAGTAGCTGAGATTACAGGCTTGTACTACTACCAGGCCTGGCTTCCACTTTGTAATAGGTGTGTGTATGTATATGTATAGGAAAAGTTGTTTCTTATTTATTTTGATGAAGCAGAAAAAATTGGAACAGACTAATCATTAGTGTCCCTATACAAGAAATAATTGCTATAGATCTGACAGGAGACCGTGGCGGCTTCTGCATTTTGACTATTCTTTTACTTTTTCCACTCCAGCCCTATTATATGCTTTTTTAGAATTTACTCTGCAGTTTAGTAGTTTTGAAAAAGTCTTTGCTTTTATGTTCTAGGCAGAGGAAGAAGGTTATTTTGAAGCATTCAAAAATGAACTTGAAGCTTTCAAGTCAAGAGTAAGACTTTATTCTCAATCACAGAGTTTTCAACCTGTGACAGTTCAGAATCATGTTCCCCATTCTGGTGTTGGATGTATAGGCGCATTAGAATCCTTACCACAGGTAAGCTGGAAAAGGAAATATTTATTTCATAAATAAGTTTACATGTTTTGATCCTTTTGTATTACTCACGTGGTACATTTAAAATATTATTGCCTCAGAAAATAGCCCCTAGTTCTGTTTCATGCCATGCTTTGGCATTGAGTCTCTTATGTTTCTTAGGTGTTTAATGACACTAAACTCTATCTCATTTTCTTTAATGTGCAGAAGATGAGCTGTACCTAAACTTTCTTGGGGTCCAATGTCACCACCTGTTGGGCATCCCAGTCATAGACTCCAGGTGGCTACCGACAAGCATCTATCTCATTATGAGTAAACTATACTAATGGGAATTTTTTAGGATAAATTAGCTTCAGAGTGGACATGTGAGTGGTAACAAAGGTGATCTGTTGCATGAATTTATATAATATCTTGTTAAATAGCATTTTTAGTACATGTAGCCCATAACATAATATATGCATAGTTTGGGCATCTGTTTGAGCCTCTTGAAAGTCTGCTATTAGATCAAGATGGCAATCGTGCCATTAGTGTGAAAACATTTACAATGAAAACTAGGGAATCTGGCCACTAGTATAGCTGATACTACTAAGAATTATAATTTCAAGATATCAGATAATTCCTGCCCATTTCAGTTTTAGAAGTAGCACTTTAATAGAGCCCAGTTCTCTCTCATTTCCGGGCTCCAAGATTTTAAGACCAGCTTTAGCCTGTTTATTCTGTTGCCTACATTGGGAATTGGAAAGTGTCATTCAGAAAAGAATGTGAAGAGAGTCCTGTATTTATCTTTAAGCCTCATAAAATTGTAAAAATTGAAATGTTCAGTGTCTTGACCTTATGTCACTATAATTTTACCATTTTAGTTATATGTATTTAAAAGAACTGTTAAATCTACAGTAACATTTTAACCTAAAATAGTAAGGAAAGCAATTGATCATATTCAACTCAACCAAAAATAACATTATTTTCAAGGGTAAAAATATTCACGTTCTGATTCTTAATTAGCAGTGTTCTCCTTTAATTAGATACATCAGGAATAGTCACCCTAAAGATTTCTTACAGGTCACTTCTCTAATGTTATTTAAATACAGTGATGATTTTCTTGTCAGTTCCTGAGAAACAGCACATGGGAAAGCAGCAAGTTTTATGACTATGTCTAAGCCAGTAGATAAACCTCCTAAAATTAAAGTCACCTCATGCATACAGAGGTCAGAAAAAGAGACTAAAAGGATGTCATTGATTCTTAACACAAAAAGAGGATATATACACATGAAAATATCATAAGCAACCTGTATTATCAAGAAGTTGCTTTGAGAGAAGTAAGTTGTTATATACACCAGATAACAGCTGGGGCCAGCTGCCAGGCCTTCATTGTCATTGTGGTAGGAGAGGCTGGGATCATAGAATTCTGTCATTTGAATCCTTATCATTATCAGGATTCTATAGACTCTATTAATCTGAGCTACCAGAGCAAATAATTGTCCCTTATAGTGTGAGAATTTAAGCGTCCTTGCCTAGAGTGCCTTGACGGGGAGGAAGGCTGGGTAAAGATTCCTGCTAGCTGTAAGATGCTCTTGACTAGATGAGGGAAACTGGATAAAGTGAGAGGCCACCTGAGGGACCAAGTGGGCAGTTGGAGGTCTGAAAAAATTTTTCTATAATAGTATACTATTTTATATCACTTTACAAGCTGTATGATACATTGATAAGTATCATTGAATCTTCTATAGTAAAAAGAATGTTGTGGTTTATTTTCATTCACAAATGAAAATAAGTAAATTGAAACTTACAGAAGCTAAATACTTTGCCTAAAGTCAACACAATCAGTGTGGAGCTCTAATACTCTAATTCTGAATGTCCTGCTTCACAGCTCATTCAGTCTGTTGAATCATAGCCTACAAATAGGACATGATGGTCCTCTGCTGCTGGGAAGAACTGGTTCCTGGGACAAGAAAAGTGCTGAGAGTGTTATCAGGTGGACAGCTAGGGCAGTCAGTAGAGTTTAAGTGTCACTTAGGTTAGGGATATTGATTGATTTTTTTTTTTCAAGTCTCTCCATGACAGTGCGGTGGGTGAATGAATTCCGGAGAATCTCCTCAGCCAATACTTGATAATCAAAATTTTGTCATGGAAATCTGGAGCCCAGTCATAATAGAGTAATTGTAAGTTTGGTATTGAAGGGCTTTGGAAGTTGGTATAGATTGTGGAAAAGGACTTGGTACTGATTTCTGGAAACAAGATAATGTGAAAAGAGTAGTAATAATCATTTTATAAAGCTTAAGTTTAGGTGATGCTTTTGTTTTCATGAAACTTACCAAATTCTATTAGCCGTAGCTTTGACAGCAGCTCCTTGGGTGTAGATATAAGTAGCCATTGCTTCAGGGTTATCTATTCTCTAGACTCGCTTTTAACTTTATTAAACTGTGAAGGAATTTTTTTTCCTCTCCTTGAGGATTACCAATACTAAAAAGAGGCATACATGAAAAAAAGACTTGCTTGGAAATAAAATTTCTGTCTAGCTTTTGCCTTTTACTATTAAAAAAAAACTACAGCAAAATCAGAATGTTAGGGTTTTTTTACTCCTCCATCTTTAGTTTTTTTTGAGACACTCAGCATGGCTCAGTCTACCCTGCCTCTCTGTGAAATGAAAGATTTAAGGCATCTATCTCAAGCCAGGTGTGGTGGCCCACCACTGTAATCCCACCACTCTGGAGGCCAAGGCAGGAGGATACCAAGTTGAAAGACAGCCTGGGCTACATAGTGATAATAAAAAATCTAAATAGCTGAAAGATACCTGGGATAACTGATTAGAAGAAATGAATTTGTGCGAAAGAATTTCCTAAAGTCCTGAGTTTTTTTTTTTCGTCTTTTTGAGACAGGGTCTCCCTGTAGCCCCAGCTGTCCTGGAACTCACTATGTAGACCAGGCTGGCCTTGAACTCACAGAGATCCACCTGCCTCTGCCTCCCAAGTGTTGGGATTAAAGGCGTGCACCGCCACACCCGGCTAAGATTCTTTTTTTTTTTTTTTTTACAAGTAATGGTTTATTTATGCATTTATTAACAGCTATATTGAATAGTTAGGTTATCTGTTCTTAGTTTTAGAAATAAGCAATAGTTCTTCTGTTTAAAAAAAAAAAATCAACAAAATGGACTGGAGAGATGGCTCAGCAGTTAAGAGCTCTGCTCTTGCAGAGGACCTGGGTTAGAATCCTATCACCTACATGACAACCAACGACCGTCCATAACTCCAGTTCCAGGGGATCTGATGCCCTCTTCTGACCTCCATGGGCCTTGCACGCCCATGGTGCACTTACGTACATGTGTGCAGTACACTCATACACACACAAAAAATAAAATAAAATAAAAAAATCAATAAAACTGTCCTCTTATTTTCAACCTTTTTTAAAAAATAGGGACCTACTACCTCTCAGAAAAGGAATGATATTTTTCTTTTATGTTTATTTTACTCAGTAAATTTTTCCTTTATTCAAATGTTTTGCATTTTGAGTACTTAACTGTTGTATTTAGATAGTAATCTTCAGATTATATTGCTGGCTGAAAATCTCTCTCTTTTTTTTTTTTTTTGATATTTTTGAGACAGGACATCCCTGTAGCTCCAGCTGGCCTGGAACTCGCTATGTAGACCAGGCTGGCCTTGAACTCAGAGATCCGCCTGCCTCTGCCTCCCAGTGCTGGGATCAAAGGCGTGCACCACCATGCCCAGCTGAAAGCCTAAATTATGAATAGGTGTGTATGTGTAGACTTTCTGGGAACTTTAGCCTTGTATGATTAAAGAATTCAAATTACTGTTTTGCCAGGAGTGGTGGCTCCTTTAATCCAGCACTCGGGAGGCAGAGGCAGGTCGATCTCTGTAATCCAACCCTCTGTAGGTCTCAAAATAAAATTACAGTTTTGTTGAAAGGATTTAAAACTCATTACATTTCTGTTATATATGTCCACTCTGTCTTTAGCACATCTTTTTGGATTAAGCAATAACACCCTACTCTTTCTTTAGCTCTTTGGGTTTCAGCCTGAGCTGACTAAAAATCCATCTTCTTTCCTGTTCTGCTACACTGCAGAGGAATAGAGCCTGAAAAAACAGATACGTAGCTGTGTGTGCTGGTGTGGAACCTCTTATCACATTCTTTTCCCTTTTCTTTTTTTCTCCCCCAGAATCCAGATTATCTTCAGTATTCTATCAACACAGCTCTCTGCAGTTTAAACTCAGTGGTACACAAAGATGATGATGAACCCAAAATGATGGACACTGTATAATTTGGTTGACACTGCTGAGGCCAAGTGCTATTTTGTTACAAGAAAGGAAGAACTTGGCTATTTTCTTGACACTTTTATGGGTGCTGCACTTTATTTTTGTTTGGTTTTTGATGGAGGGAAAAAAAGAGTATGGAGATGTTTTGTAACTTTTTTTATGTGCTGCTAGGTTTTTTTGTTTTGTTGTTTCTGAAGGGAGGAGTGGTATCCTATGTTGCAGGAGTCAAACTGGACTCTCCCCTCGCCCCTTGGTTACTAAATTTGCCTTTAATTGTTCTCAATTTCGGAATCAAAGTTATGAAAATCTGCACAATGCAATGTTTACAAGAACTGGTTGATTGGAGGAGGCACCTGCTACAGTCTTTTTATATGGTATGTACATGTCCTGTTCTACAGAGAGAATTAAAGATAAAAATGCACTTGTATCCCACTGAAAAGTTTAGCTGTCAAATCTGGTGTTTCATCATATTAAAAGCAATAAATTAATAGTTGGTAACATACTTTAGTAAGTAATCTGGGTGGCACACATTTTTCTTTTACAATAATACATTTGTGTTTTCGGCACCATCAGTTAAATCCTTGTTTATGATATAAATTCAATACTAAAAGCATTATAATCATTTACTCCCAAAGTATTCTCAAAACTGTTTTTAGAAGTTGATTTTACTGAGTATAATCAGTACAAAAAGTAATAAGCTCATAATTTTTTGTTTTTTAACAAGATAAACGTCAGTCTTAATTTCTTTACTTGTCATAGTCTGGGGCCTCTCAGGGAGTAAGTTTTAAAAGAATTCTAATGCCCATAAGAACAAACAAGAATACCATTTTAAAATTAAGGTTATTGTGTGTTTCAGTCTGATGTAGCCTTGAGGAATGTCATAGAGCTAATCTGCCTTGAGCTGATGTCTAAGAATTTGGTAACAGTCAGGATGGATTATTATTCACCTCTAGCTCAGCTACTTAGAATGCTTCTGAGCTTCACTTCTTCCTATATAATTCACTGTAGATATACCAGGATATTTAATAACTTCTTTTATTTGGAATTGGAGACAGTGCTAATTATGATATCATTATTTAAGAATTAATCTTCTGACTGAGAAGAGTATTAGCTTTGATTAGTTTTGAGTCTTTGGCTCAGTGAACCCACCCATTGAGATTCCTAACAAACATTTGGAAGATGACTAACTGGAATTGGGAAGACAATGCATTAAGTTGAAAAACCAAATAATGCTAAGCAGCCAAGTGGGGATCAAAACTGTGACTTTGGCCTTTTTTACCTTGCCTCAGCTGAGGTGATAGGCACTCAGTACTCAAATGGACTAGAATCAGTGAATCACACTTCTGTAACATTACAATCTTCCTGGTTTCCAGAATAAAAGTCTTTTTGAGCTTTTGATATAAATATGTACTCTATAATAAAGTGTTTGACTGATTTATATGGTAGTATTCATCAACTTGTAACTTTTTTACCCATCTAGTCATAGTAGATTTGATTTTCTTATGTTTTCTTTTTTCCCATTTCTTTTTTGTCTTGTTCTGGAGCACGCTCTCAATTTTTCCCTTTGTACCAAATGGATGGACTAGAACAAAATGAGTGATTTCACAGACACGTTCCTTGGACCATTGTTTTCTACTCCAACCTTACTTCTCCCCAGGATTTGCCTGTCATCATTCAGATGGTCTTGACTTTTCATTTTGTCTTATTTAATTAAAAGCTATTGCGGTTGGGGATTTAGCTCAGTGGTAGAACACTTGCCTAGCAAGTGCAAGGCCCTGGGTTCAGTCCTCAGCTCCGGGGAAAAAAAAAAAAAAAAAAAAAAAAAAAAAAAGCTATTGATGGCTAAAAACTGGCAAGAAAGGATGGATTGGCAAACTAAGTATATAATTAAAGATGATTTTGTTTTTGTTTTTTGAGACAGAAATCACTAAGATCTGATTTTTAAAGTTTCACTAGATTTTTGTCTTTTCAGAAGGAAGTGCTGTGCATTCCAGTGTGTGAAAGTGTGATTGATTTAAGAACCACTGACTTCATAATTTTCCCTTAAAGATAGTGACTTCGTAACTGGCAGTACTTGGCCTAAGAGCAGTAAATTGGCATCCCTTTGTTTGTCTTTGTTTTAAAATAGCCCTTTAGTACCAAGAGCTAACTCCTACCAAAGTAGTCTCTCTTCTGTTTTTGTTAGAAGGAATGAGGACTAGTTAGCACATGGATACCACATTTCAGGTTAGGAAATTTTACTTAGTCAAACTAAGAAAAGTCGAAACTGATAAATGGAAACTGTTTGACCTCACAGTATTATACTCAACAAAGACCATTGTTGGTAAAATTCATCTATTTAATAAAAGATTTCTTTTTTAAGATTCTTTTTATTTTTATTCATGTATATTATGTGTGTCTATAGTGTCTTCCATGTGAGGGCAGGTGTCCTTGGAGGCCAGAAGAGAGTGCTGGATCCCCTGGAGCTGGGGTTGCAGGCAATTGTGAGCCTCCTGACGTGGGTGCTTGCACCTGAACTCAGGTCCTCTGGAAGAGCAGTATGTGCTTTTAACCAGTGACCCATCTCTCCAGTCCCTTCTGTTTTCCCCCTTTTTCTTTTCTTTTCTTTTTTTTTTTTTTTTTTTGGAAATAGCTGGGAGTTGGACATATGGCTCAGGTGGTAAAGTTCCCATTCAGCATGCAGGAAGCCCTGGGCTGTATCCCCAGTGCCACATGTTGGGTATGTTGGCACAGACTTTGGCCCCAGTGCTGAGGACGTGAAGCTAAGAAGTCAGAAGTTCAGAATATTAGCCTCAGTCACTATATAGCGAGTTGAAGGCCACCTTTCTGGCTATGTTAGACCCTGACTCAGGGGAAAAAAAGGAAAGGGGGATAGCTGCCACTCTACTTACGCTGGTTTAGAATTACTAGTCTAAGATTCTCCTCCAATTACATCATTAGTGGGTCTTTCAAAAATTTTTGCCTGGGGAGCTTATCATATCCTGTCATTTCTTCCAGGGAATATTGGGCTTTTTTTCAGACTAGCATTTGTATTATTTTAAGAATGAATTAAGGGCTGGTGAGATGACTCAGTAGGTTAAAACCTGAAAACCTGAGTTCTATCCCTGGAACCCAAAAGGAGAGAAGAGAACTGAGTCCCCTCCATTGGTGTCATATCCTCACACATACACCCTGGGGCATGAGTGCTCACAACTAAATCAGGAAAAAGATTTTAAGTGAATTAACATGTTCTCCCAAAGAGCACACATCTCTTTAATAAGTGGTGTTTGAAGATTTTTAATTTGTCTGTCTGTATCTGTGTTGGGGTATGTGCACTTGAGTGCCAGAAGAGAAAGTCACATCCTCTGGAGCTGGAGTTGCAGGCAGTTGTAAGCGACCCAGTGTGGGTGCTGGGAACCAAACCTAGGTCCTCTGGAAGAGCAGTATGTATTCTTAACAACTGAGTCATCTTTCTAGCCATTAAGTGATTTTTCTCACAGGATGAAAAAGTTTAGATTTAGGCAGTGATTTTCAAGTTAACTCTGGGGTGTTTTCAGAGGAAAAACAAAAATGTCGATTTACTGTTCTCAGAGTAAGTCATGATTTCAGTTCTTAAATTGATACAGCACAAAAGTGGTACTTGTTTGGATTGGGGTTAGGGTTCCCATATCAATTGTGCCACTGTCACTCACATTTTAAGACCCTTAAATGCAGTAACCTCCAGTTCCCATCTGTATTGGGAGGGTGGGGGGGCTTGCCATTTCGTATTCATCTGAGAAGCTGATTCATCAGTAAGTATTGGTTTTCTTATTGTGTAAGCTAATGGGATTACAAAAAGGAATAAAGGTTGTGGATTGCTTACTATCCAGTAATGAAGTTGAAAATATTCCCGTAAGCCTAGAAGAACTAGATTTAAAGCATGGTCTTTTCTAAAGTTAGAAAAGTCCCTACATTTGTCTCTTAACATCATGATTCTTCATGCTGCTTAGTCTTCAGACACTTAGAATCCTTTCAGAAAATAAGAAACAGGGATGAAAGTCTACACTAGGCATGGTAGTACTTGGTGCTGTATGTGGAAATACTCATCGTCATTAGTGATCTTTAAAGCGGGGTAGGGCTGGAAAGGTAGATCGGGTTAAGAGGACACACTGCTCTTGCAGAAGTCCATAGTTTAATTCCCAGCGTTCATGCCAAGTGATTCACAACCTCCTATGTAACTCCAGCTCCAGTCAATCCAATGCCCTCTTCTAGCCTCCATGGGCACCTGCACACAAACACATACACTAAATAAAACCTTTTTTTAATGCCAAGAGAGGGACCGGGAAGATGCCTCAGCAGTTGAGCACTTACTGCTCTTGCAAAGGACCTGCATTTGGTTCCCAGCATGCAAATGGCAGCTAAAAATGTCTGGAACTCTAGTTTTAGAGGATCCAGTGCCCTCTTCTGGCTTCCTTGGGCAGTGCATGCATGTGGTGCACCTACATATATGGAGGCAAAATACTCGTAAAATTTTAAAAACATTAAAAAAATTTTAAACATGCAAGGGAATGTTAAGAGGTTAAAAAATCATATGGGCTTTCTCAGAGCTCATTAAGGCTAGCTATTTTAGTTGTTAAAAAATTTTAAACCATAACTTCCAGAATGAAAATGTTTAGTTGCAAGCAGCAGTTTACTAATGGGAGTATTTTAATGAGAAGACAATTTATAAACATGTTTCAAAATGAAGATTTGTTGCTGTTGGTTGCACACGCAGTAATTTTAATAACAATGTCTGATTACAACATTTATTTTTAGAGTAGTTTTATTCCAAACTATGAGGGTCTAGACTATCTTAATAGAATACGTTGTGTTATTGCTGGAACAGGAGAGGAAATAGCCAGGGGCTGGGGATGTAGTTCAGTTGGTAAAGTGCTTGCTTAGCATGCACAAAGCCCTGTGTTCAATCCTTAGCACATACCCATAGTCCCTGCACTTGGTATGTGAAGGCCAGGAGAATTTTAAAGTCACGCTGTACTACATAGTGAGTTTGAGACCAGCCTAGGATACGTGAGACCCTGTCTCAAGAGAGAGGAGCTGGGGAGATGGCTCAGTGGATAAACGCCTTGCCTTGTAAGCATGAGGACCAGGGTTGGGATCCCCAACATCCATATAAACTGGATAGGCATAGTGGCTCACCTGTAATTCCAGCACTTGAAAAGGCTGAGACAGATCCTCAGATCCTGCTTAGTCCAATTGGTAACCTCTGGGTTCAAATGAGTGACCTTGCCTCACTAAGGTAGAGGGTGATGGAGGAAGAGGCCCAAGGTCAGCCTTGAGCTTCCACATACCTGTGGTGCATGCGCATACACTTCACATACATAGTCATGCAGCACAAATGATGCTACTCTAAGGAAGTAATAGGGTTACAGGTGTTTAGATGCTGGTCTCTTTTTGTTGGGTTTTTTTCTTTTATTTTTTTTGAGACATGGGCTCCCTGTAGCCCCAGCTGGCCTGGAACTCCCTATGTGGACCAGGCTGGCCTTGATCTCAGAGATCCACCTGTCTGCTTCTGTAGGAATCAAAGGAAGGCCTGCATCACCACACCTGGCCGTTACCTTTTAACTAAAGTTGTGGGAGCTCCTGGTCAGGGCATTCAGCTCAAGGTTTGCTTCCGTGTGACACAAATTTTCACTGGTCATCACAGCATTCCGCTTTTTTTTTTTTTTTTTTTTTTTTTTGCCTTTTTGAGACAGGTTCTCCCTGCAGCCCCAGCTGGCTAGAACTCACTGTGTAGACCAGGCTGGCCTTGAACTCAAAGGGATTCACCTGCCTCTGCCTCCCAAGTGCTGGGATTAAAGGCCTGTGCCACCACTGGTCTGGCTCCACAGCACTCTATTTTTTAGCAGAATTTACTCGGCAATAATCTTAATGTCTGTGGCATCAGCCTGTTGAGTAACAGGTTCTTTTTATTTGCTTTGATAGGAAAACAAACATCATTTCCAAATGGTTGTATGTGCAAAATTTTGGTTGGTTGGGGCTTAGGAAAGGAACGGTCACAGGAAAAAAATTTTTCACATGTTCTCCAACCCTTTTTGATTTTCACATCTTTTTTTTTTTTTTTTTTTTTCCTTTTTTTTTGGGGAGGGGGTTCCCCTGTAGTCCCAGCTGTCCTGAACTCACTATGTAGACCAGGCTGGCCTTGAACTCACAGAGATCTGCCTGCCTCTGCCTCCCAAGTGCTGGGACTAAAGGCGTGCGCCACCACATCCGGCGACTTCTACATCTTAAGAGTGTCATGAAAGCCAGTGTGATTACAGTACTATATATAGCAGGATAAGGAAGTGCATAAAGTTGAGGCCTGGAGAGATGACTCAGCAGTTAAGAGAACTGACTGCTCTTAAAGAGGACCTGAGTTCGATTCCCAACACCCACATGGTGGCTAATAACTGTGACTCCAGTCCAGGAGATTTGACCAAGCCTCCTGACCTCCACAGGCATTGCACGACACGGGTGCACTTACACACATGCAAGCAATACACTCATGCACCTAAAATAAATAATACTGAAAAAGAAGAAAGAATTGCATAAAGTGAAGGCAGCCTTGGGACTGTTTGAAGACAGTTTATTAGAATGAAGTCTGAAACATCAGGGCTGTGGACAGGAAGGTGAGTGAAGTGGCCTGTGGAGGGTCAGAGACAAAGTGCTGACGATGTAACAGAACTCAGTGTGATAATGTAGTGGTAGTTCATGAGTTTAGGTAGTTCACAACATTTTTAGAAAGCAGACAATAACATTCAAATAAGGCATTATAGAAATTTCTCAAAGAACAAAATATTTGTTGTAAGCCTTTTAAAAGGCCTAGTCCATTTTAAAAGATAACAATGAATTTTTAAAAATCAAAAGTCTCTTCCCCCATTCCCAAATATAAGCTATAAGAACCATTTGCTGGCATTTTTACTTTAAATGTCTGGAACATAATGGGCCAACATCTTAAAAGCTTGTACAAGGGCTTGATTCTTTGATTAGCACCATGTAAAGTGTGTGTCTCCATGGAAGACATAATTGGTTTTTCTTCCACCTCTCGTATTTTTCCACTTCAAATCACAATACATAAGGACACATCCTTGCCCCACTAAAGAATCTAAAATGATTAAGGTTTTAAGATGGTTTTTCAGGTTGGTTTTGGTGGTACACACTTGTAATTCTAGCACTCAGAAGGTTGAAGCAAGAGGATGAGTATGAGGCTGGACAGGGCTACATAGTGATTTCAAGGGCAGCCTGGGCTATATAGTGAAACCCTGCCTCAAAAACTAAGGGCTGGGGATGTAGCCCCAGTGATAATGCTTGCCTAGCACTCAAGGCCCTAAGATGGATACCCACAGTGTAGAGGGGAGGAGGAGGCTGCTTAGCTACCAGAAGAGTTCTTTCCCTTTAAGATAGGCTGGCAAATGGTAGCATCCACAGTAATTCCAGCACTTGAAAGAGGCTGAGATAGGGGATCTTGAATTCAAGGCTTTCAGTCCAAGAATAAAAATGTTCTTTAGGGAAGTCAGCTACTTTCATGGTTCTTTTTAACGTTAATATCCTGTGAATTCCTTTTTTTTTTTTTTTGGCAGGGTCTCCCTTTAGCCCCAGCTGTCCTGGAACTCACTATGTAGCCCATGCTGGCCTGCCTCTCCCTCCCAAGTGCTGGGACTAAAGCCTTGCACCACCACACCCAGCTCCTGTAAATTCCTTTAATTGCTACAACCTGTTTACTGATTGTTTGGCGTTTATCAAGGGACTGTTTCCGGGCATGCCGACCCAAGGCAGATTGTAAATTTGGGGCAAAAGGAGAAACTGACAGGTAGATCCTAAAATCTGTTTCTTTAACCTGAGTAATATCTGGACACATCTAAAAACCAAAGATGACCACATTGCTATAATTGATCCAGTGTTGTTGCTTTTGTAAGAACTTTAAAAGTTCGTTTCTAACAAGTCAGATCCCTTGGTACATACATGCTTGGAAAAGGAAAAAAGCCATATTAAAGTAACATTTTCTTATGTGCTAATGGGTACTTTTTTGTAGCATAAAATTTTAGTAAACTGGGGACAAAACAAAATCGTGGCCAGCTTCCATGATTTGGGGTATAAAGGCAACAGTGAATTTGCATCTTAAAACATAAATCCGGTTGGTTTTTCAGGATTTTATAGTGTCTCCTAAAACCATTTCCCTGTGGAGCTAGAAAATATCTTTTAGGGGGGATTGGCAAAAAAAGAAAGAAAAAAAAAGAAAAGCCTCTAAGATATTTGCCTTAACAGATACATAATTTTAAAAATTTTATTTTTCATTTTATGTGTATGAGTGTATTGCCTGCATGTGTGTAAGTGCACCCATGTCGTGCACTGCCCACAGAGGTCAGCATTGGATCCCTTGGAATAGTTACAGGTGGTTGTTATCCTCTGTGTGGGTGCTGGGAATCAAACCTGAGTCCTCCGAAAGAGCAGTCAGTGCTCTTAACCCCTGAACCATCTCTCCAGCCATGATATATAATTTTTTTAAACATTCCAGAAAAACTTGAAAATATTATCAACAGTTTTGGCTGACTGAGAAAGGCTAATTGCCTGCTAGTTGCTCTTTTAATTTTGCTCTGAGAGTCTCTTTAAGTTTTCACACCTCTGATGTTTTAAAATTGCACACCCATAGAAGACAAGTAGATAAAGCACACTAGATTATTTAACAGATCAACCTGACTCATTTGGCACATCCTTAGTAACAGCCTTAGAATAAAGTAATTAGAAATCAATCATAATTTTCAAAGAATTCATACATGCTGAGTCTTAGGTGTTTCAGAATGCAAAGACAGAGGAGGCACCGCCCATCAAGTTATTACTACCTCAGGGAGTAATGGAGGCTTTCTGGGTAGTTTCTGGAACTTTCATCTGTAGGAAAGCATACACATGGGGCCAGATCTTGTTCGTTTCTGTTCCAGAGAATGTTTCCAATACCCCCTTTTTCCTATAGATGAAAAACAAAAACAAAAACAAAATAAATATATAAAATACATGGGTCTGGAGTGTTCTAATGAGCTTTCTTAAAGCAATTTTGTAAAGTTCATTTGAATTTACAAGTCCTGTGAGTTTAGGTCTCTGATCCAGGGGGAAGGAACTTGTCTGGACATTGTTAAACCTGCATTCTACTTTCCATTTTGCTCTCTGGCACACAGAAACAGGCACTCAAAAAAGAAAGGGAGCTGTCATGTATTAAGCATCCCCGGTTTGTTAAACCTGTACTAAGTGCTTTATGTCTTGAGCTTTAAAAGCTCAAATAAGGCCTGGTGTGGTGGCACAGGCTCTTAATCCCAGCACTTGGCAGGCAGGGGCAGGCAGATCTCTTGAGTTCAAGGCCAGCCTGGTCTACATAGTGAGTTCCAGGACAGCTGGGGCTACAAAAAAAAAAAGAAAGAATCCATTCATAAAAGCTCAAATACTCCTGTTTTACTGATAAAACTATCTTTTGTTATCTCAGCCCATATCCCCGAATTGATAGGTTCTGAAACAGGGCTTGTCAGACATCAGAACATCATCTTTGGTCTGCTTTGTCCACTTCAGTAGAAGAACTTACTAGTACTCTATCTACCTTTTTACTAGAATTTCTTTTTCCTCTGTTCTACCTTTCTGAGCTGTTTCTCCTATCAAATTTCTCTATTTCTCCCTGCCGATATGTCTGGCTTGTCACCAGACAGGCAGCCAAAGATTATTTTAATTACTCCAGTATCCAGTTGGTAGGATGAAGATCTGAATCCTGGGGTTTGCTACAGACTGCCTTGGGGTTCTGAACCCTTGCAAGGCCTCTAACCCACGCGCATTTCTCTGGGTGTGCCTAGGGAGCCTGAGAACAGCTGAAGAACTCTGGCTTACATTCCAACAAGGGTCCACCATACCTCTGCAACCCAAAACTGTTCTCACTCAGTGTTCAGAGGTTTCACTAGAAGCAAAAAGATTCCCTGACGCCTCAAATTTTTTTTCATGGTTAATTTAACAGCCACTGTTTACTTGGTAAAATCATCTGCTACAGAGGGAAATTATGCAAAGAGAGATAGTATTTGCATAGTAGACTTCAGTTTCTAAACTCAGGCATGCGGCAGAGCTTTCAGGGCGGCAAGCTTTTAACAACTGGAAGCTACTTGGGGACACGACTATGAAGCCATGGTACCAGGAGTGGGTATCACTGAGCGCAGAACTGCAGGCACCTGCTCGCTCCTAAAGTTCTACCTGGAATGGATGTATGCCATTATAATTTTCTCTGCGAAGAAATAGAACTAGCTTCAAAAATTAGTCCTCAGAGAGTAAGAATGTCACATTCCTAGACAGACCGCTCACTCCATGAATGTTTCACAGCTGAGAAGAGTTGAAAAACAGGACTGTAAACATTTAAACATAACCCCTTTTTGCTAAAGTTCTTTTTAAGGTTCTTTTAATTTTTAAGTCCAGGTTAACTTTTTAAAATTTATTTTTATTTTATGTGATGAGTGTTTTGTTTGCATGTATGTTAAGTGCACCAGATGTGCAGTGCTCAAGAAGGCCAGAGTGGAGTTCCTGATGGTCGAGCCACAATGTGGGTTAAAAGCCTTGCCCAGGGCCACAGAGCTATTCATCTTCAGAGCCAGGCTCAATACACAAACACAAATTCTTATTGTAACAGCAGCTGTAGAAAGTGAATTGCAAAGTCTTATTATTTCAGCTTCCAGAAATAAACTATTAGAACTATTAGGACAGTTTGGAGACTGTGGCTTCCAATTTTATTGCATACTTACTCCTAATACAACATTGATTACAACCATAACAAATAATTGAAAAGATGATTCTATATATCAAGACAATTCTGAGAGTTACACATATTAACTCACTTTCAATCCTCTCTTCTTACCCACATTTTAAAAAAATTTTTAATTTTATTATTTTTATTTTATGTGTATGCATGTATTGCCTGCATGTAGGTAAGTACACCCATGTTGTGCAGTGCCCACAGAGGTCAGAAGAGGCTGTCAGATCCCCTGGGACTGGAGTTACGGACAGTTGTTAGCTGCCATGTGGGTGCTAGGATTCAAACCCAGGTCTTCTGCAGGAACAACCAGTGTTCCTAACTGCTGAGCCATCTCTCCAGCCCCCTTACCCATATTTTATGAAAGAGAAAACAGGCAGAGGTTAAGCAAGAAGTTAAGGCTATGTTAAATAGCGAGCTGGGGTTTGAACCTGGCCCTGGCCCCGGTACTTGTGTTCTCAGCAGCACAGTATATACTGCTTTGACCCTGAATCATGAGTAGACATACAAATGAAAGGGGGAGGGGCCATTCATCCTCTGGAAGAAGGGAGGGCTGAGGAAGGAAACCAAACTGTTTCTTAGCCCAAGTTAGGTGTCACCTCTGGGTAGCTCTCACATTTATATAATACGGACTTCCTTGAAAAGCAGACTAAACCATGTGTTTAAAGACGAATGATCTGAGGGTTGGCTGTCATTTGAATTTGTGTGGCAAGGTGTCCTCGTGACACACGTGGTGGGATTTGGGCACTGGCCAGTGGCCCAGGCCCATGACAGTAAATGCCTGAAGTTCTCTGGCCACAGTGGCTGTTCTATTGGTTTCATTGGAGTGATGCTCAGAGCTTTTGCTCACGGAGTAAAAGGTTTCCTCCACCCTTCATGAAAGAGGAAGGCCTGGCTGTTTCTGGCAGATACCTGCAACCATGCAGGAAGTCTGAGGACAAAGCCAGTGTCCAAGAAGGGAAGCTAAGAGAATGGCTGATGATACCTTGGAGACAGCCCTGCCTACCTTCTGGTCTTCTCTGTTGCATAAGCCAAGAAATTTCCTTTACTGTTTAAGCCATTTGCAATTGGATCTTCTAGTATTTTAGTATTTCAGCTGCAAAGTATGGAAAAATTAAAAACTTTGATTGTACAAGAGAAGTTCTGAATACCAGTAACTCACTGGTAATATTCCAGGACTGGCTCTGTTTGGGCTTCGTAAGCCTTTAGTCTCTTGATCACTGTTTCTGGTTTGTCATCCTCACGCTGAATCAGAGGCTCTCCTGTCAAGTCATCAATGCCCTAAAACAACCATTAGAAGAGAAGAATGTCACTATTAGTACTCAACTCTGAAGGGTGTTTTATAAACAGTTCTTTCTATGCAGGCATCTATTCAAGCACCAAGTACAAATGTGCTAATGTTTAAACCAACAGAATCTAAACTAAAGAAACATTATTCCAACATGAGACCCCAGGATCTTTTCCATACTACTATACAATTCGCATTCAAAACAACCCCAATAGACCCAAATTCTGAAGGGCTGATTCTCAGCTCATGGGCTAGCGGGAGGTAGTAGAAATTCCAACTGTAAGCCAGTGTCAAAAAGCCCCACTTCCCCTCACCCACACCCTGGCACAGAATAAATAATCAGTGCTTATTTATAAAGAAAAAAGTATTGATTTTTTTTCCCCACTGCTGTAACCAATACCTAAGAAAAACAACTAAAAGGGCAGAATTATTTTGGCACACAGTTTCAGTTCAATTTGCTGCTTGACCCCATGAGCTTGGGCTTCAGAACATCATGGTAGGAGTGTGTCATGGGGGAGACTGGAGGGAAAAGGACCAAGGATCAGGTGTAACCTACAGATGCCCAGCCCTAGTAGCCCACTTTCTCCAGCTCAGCCCCCATCTCCAAACTGCCACCAGTGGGGACCAAACAACACATTGAACTTAAGGGGGACATTTCATAATAAACACTTTTGATGAATAAGTGTTTACAGCAGGAACACCTTTACTACCAAGCTGAGTGGACTAGACCCATCAGGCAGAGGCTGTCCAAGTTTACAGAACTTAATTGGTGAGGGTAAGAGGACTCAGGGACAGTCTGCTATGTGTCAGTCCTACTGCAATTACTCACCACAGTTTTGGGAGGGTTGAATTCAATGTTGTACACTCGGCCACTGGCAGGATGAATCCAACGAGCTGTGAGGCGTTGTTTAATGACTTCAAAGGGCACATTTAGGTTTATCACTGTGTCTATTTGGTAAGTCCTATCCAGGGCTTCTGCCTGTGGAAGTGTCCTTGGGAAACCTATAGAAAATAAAATTTTAAAAAAGAAAAGAAGCGTGAGGAGAGACAAAGTCAAGAAAGAAAAAGAAAACTGAACCCAAGGAATACCACCAGGCAGATTGACCACAGCTCTAGAACAACCATGATGGTTAATTTTTTTGTATCTCCTTGACTGGGCAAAAGGGTACCCAGATATTTGATCAAATATCTTGAGTGTGCACGCGAGGATGTTTCTGTATACGAGCATGTGTGAGTAAGCCTTGATGAAACAGCTTGAGGCCTGAGCAGAACAAAAGACACCCTTCTTCGCGTAAGGGAGACTCCCTGTCTGACTATTGTCTAATTAGAACGTCCATGCATTCCTGTCAGTTAAGAAACACTGAATTCCTGTCAGGTGTGGTAGCAGTAAGCCTGTAATTCCAGCACTTGGGAAGCAGAGGCAGAAGGATAAGGAGTTCAAACCCAGCCTTTGCTACATATTTATAACAATTTGAGACCAGTTTGGGCTGCATGAGCTTCTGGAAAGAAAACATGGGGCTGGAAAGATGGCTCAGCAGTTAAGAGCAATTGCAGTTCTTTCAGAGGATGGGAGTTCACTTCCCAGCACCCACATCAGGTGGTTCACAATCTGGCCTCCACTGGCACCTGAACACACACAGAATACACACAAATAAAACTTAAAAACTTAAAGAACTCATCAGTCTCACTCCAGAAGACTGTTTTTAGAATATTACAGAAAATAGCATAGAGGAGCAAGCAGAGAAAGAGGGAGATAGGAGAGAGAGAGAGAGATTTTTTTTAGAGAGAGAGAGAGAGAGAGAGGAGAGAGAGAGCTGAAATACTTATCAGCAAGAGAGATAGAGATGAGAGAGACAGAGAGAGAGACTTGAAATACTCATCAGTCTCACTCCAGATAGAGGAGCAAGCCCTGACACCACCACAAAGCATCATATGCAATGAGTGTTCCTAATCCAGAAATCTGAAATCCAGTGGTGTCAGAAAGTGTTCGGTTTTAGATTTGGGGTGTTCAGACTAGGAATGCTCAGCTGGTAAAGTATACAAATAGTCCAAAGTATAAAAATCTCCAAAATATGAAACACACGTGGTCCCAACGCACTTCAGAAATGGGATACTTGATCAGTACAGCTAAATAATGTGCTTCAAAAATACAGAGAAAGGCAACTAGAGCTGATGATTGAATCCAAAAATAGACACAAGTACATTAGGGAATTTGAAATAATATTCTGATCTCAAATTTTTGACTTTATAATATTATGACTAGGGACACTCCGTCCAGAACATAAGAAAAAGCTAAAATCGGTGGAAGTAATACATTTTTCAAAAGTGACAAAGGTTAAAACTGCATATGCAATAACTTGGTGGAGCCAAAATACATCTTGCTAACACTGAAACATGGAAAATTTCACTTGTGACTTAGACCTTATGATGTGATAAAATAACAATTAGGAAACCTGGGTTGGAGGAAACAGCCTCCAAAGGAAGCCTATAATGGCAAAAGCTCAGTCTATAAAATTTTATATAGCCCTGTGTTGAAAAAAATCAAGCATTTACTATAAAATTTACAATGAAGCAAGTCATCCTGATAGGAACAATTTTGATACATTTAATGAGATTAATAGACTACAATAGCTGACTTCTTACCTGGTAAAATGCTTGCCAGATGCCAAGATCTGTATGCTAAATATTTTATAAATGTTTTCTTTCAACTGTCATAATACCCCGTAAGAAAGGTTCTGTTATTGTTCCCACTTTACAAATGAGGAAACTGGGCCACAGCAAGTCTAAATAACTTGCTCTAGCGCATAAAACTATTAATTAAGTAGTGGAAGTGGAATTCGAACACAAACTGTCTAACCTAATACCTACACTTGTGGCCATGGAGTTTTCACTGAAAAAAAAAAATGTCTCGCCACATGTGGTAGCACACTCTTTTAATCCCAGGACTCAGGAGGCAGAGGCAGATGGATCTCTGTGAGTTCAAGCCCAGCCTGGTCTCCATAGTGAATCCAGACCAGTTGGGAGACTTTGTCTCAAAAAGACCAACAAAAAAAAGTCTCGAAAAATATACTTCTCATGATCTAATTCTGATTTAAATGTTTATCTTCAGCTCAGGTAACTTAGAATCAAACATCCATGGGGAATAAAGAGCTGCATCGAACTGCCCTGTGGCAGAGAAACAGGAATGTGAGGGTGTTTCGCAGCACTGAAAATGGAAAATCTGGTTGCAACCAAAGTATTCCTCAAGTAGGGGTTAAGTATACTTGATGTATATCAAGTGCAAGTGTATGCATCTTTATTCCAAAAATAAATAATAAATAAATCTGTCAAATGTAGTTTAACTCAGTTGAAAATCAAAATGCAAAAACTAGTTGTGTGTATCTGTATGTATATATGTTACAGTTTGGATATGAAATATACTCCCAAAAGCTCACGTGTGGAAAAACTTGGTTCCCAGATGATGGAGCCAGTCCCTGAGAGACGGCTGGATCATGGGATGTGACTTCATGGATGAATGAATGCATAGATACAGTTGTAATGGGATGGCATTAGTGAGCGGTAGGACTTGGTGGATGAAGTAGCTCACTGGGGTGTACCTCTGAAGGGTATATTGTTTCTAGTCGCTTCCTGTTTCATCTCTGCTTCCTGTCACCATGAAGAGAGCAGCCTCTGCTGAACCATGCTCTCACTAGTGCCCAGAAACAACACAGACAATGACATGGACTAAAAACTCTGAAACCCAGGAGCCAAAACAAATCCTTCCTCTTTTAAGTAGTCTCTTTGAAGTATTTGTCAGAGCAACAAAAAACTACCTAACACAATATGTAAAGGAAAAATACTATTAGCTATTACTTAGGGAGAGAATGAAACATATCTAATAATATGTGGAAGTTTGTATATCTTTGTATATTTTATTACTGTAGAGAGATTCTGTTTGAACTACATACAAGTAATTAAAAGTAGCTGTTGTGGAAGGGTGTGATCATTGAGACAGACTTATATGTCTGTCTCTCTTATACATTTATATCCGCTTTAATTTTTTAAAGGAAAAGACATTGTTTCAATACAACAATGGAAAAATTTAAAAGAACAATAAACATCCCACACTCCAGGCCCTTTCCCTGTTGCCCTGTCTTTGGCCCAGTCCCCTGACACACCCCACTGATAATCATGGGTTGGTCTCATGGAAAACTTGCCATTTTTCCTGGACTGGACAGTTTCTCCATTCTGCCTTTATGCAACCCATTCCTCCACCCTGAACAGACCCAGATAGGTCTCCTGCAAATGGGGATGCTTTTACACCCTTCCATCAGACAAAGAAGCAAGGCTTTCTGAAGCTTGAAAATGAAATGTTGAACCATGTATCAATATTTTCTATTGGAAAAGGAAGTAAGCAGCTGCCTGCTCACCACATAACTCTCTATCCACATCAATGCTTAATCTGGACTTTTTGTTTACTTTTTACTTTTTTACTGCACTTTCCATAAAAGTAAAGACCTTGTTCGTGTTTAGGTTCAGTGCCTGGAACACCTTTGTGCATCCAGAAGGCACTCAGTCCATATTTAGGTAATGAATAATATATGCAGCCCAGCGTGTATAGCATATAGCATTTATCACAATTCTGATAACACTCAAGACCTTCCATAAGTGTTTGAAGCATTTCTGTCATTGAGATTCTCTGCAAATGCAGATGGACATGTGGGCACGCCTGAGTTTTCCTTCCTAATACTAGCTCTAATAAACCAGAGTAAGTACACCACCCCACCTCTCCCTTTGTCCTCCTGATAGAAGTCTAGTCATGTGGAGCCTTTGTGCAGTTAGGAAAAAGGGTGCCTTCTCTTGCCACCTCAGCAAGTAGCTGGGCTGCCAGGCTCAGTGGGAAACACTAAGTGCTTATATGTGGAGGTGGAGATAGGGCTGAGTAGGAGAGAAGAAAACAGAAGACCAGATTAGCACACCTCTTCCAAGACAAGGTATTGTAACTTCAATCTTGAAGGAAAGAACTGTGTCTTTTAAAAACATCTTTTTGGCCGGGCGTGGTGGTGCACGCCTTTAATCCCAACAGTCGGGTGGCAGAGGCAGGTGGGGTCTCTCTGAGTTCGAGGCCAGCCGGGTCCCACAGCAAATCCAGGCCAGTTGGGGCTACAGGGAGACCCTGTCTCAAAAAGACCAAAAAAAACCAAAAAACAAAAACATCTCTTTGGTGTCCTCCCTGTGTCAACAGGCAAATTAGAGACTACAAGCCAACCTGCTATTGAAGACCTCTGGATGGGGAAA